TGTGGTATGAGTTTGTGGGCTGAAATTATCTTCCAGGAAAAAGAGGCTTCTGAGTTATGGTGAAGACCAGAGGAGTACAGCCTTATGGGAAATGATGAGATGGCTGACCTGGATGTCTTCCTTAAATGGAAATCTTGTGAGAAGCCCTTTAATCAGAAGGAAAGGCTTCAGAGGTAGAGGGCACTTTCTAAGTTTGTGTTTCGGAGCTGAAGTGATCTTCCACGATAAAGAGATTTCTAGGGTATGGTGAAGAAAACCAGGAGTACAATGTGGTGCAGGGAAGGGGGTGGAGCCAGCTCTAGATATATGGACCTGGATATCATCTGCATAGAGATCATAATTGAATCCTTAGATCCTGATGAGATCACCAAGAGGATGCAGAGAAAGAGAATAAGAGGTTTCAGATAGAACCGTGGGAGAAACCACTATTAATAGATTAATCATGGACAATAATCCAGCAAAAGAAACTTAAAACATCAGTTGGGAAAGGAGAGACAGGATAAAGCAGCATCAGAAAACCTCCTGAAGAAAAGAATATCTAGGAGGAGGGGAGTAATCAATAATGTCAAATGACACAGAGAGGTCATGACAGTTGAGAATTCAGGAAAGGTCATCAAATTTAGTGATTAATACATGGTTGGTAATCTTGTAGAGAACATTTTCACTTGGATGGTGAGGCTAGGAGCCAGGTTGCAAGTTGAGAACTGAGTTTGAGGGAAAAGGAAATGCAGACAATGACTACAGATGGATTTATTCTTTCTTCTGAGTCTTCTAAAACTAACTGATAGTCAAACTGATCACACAGTGATGATTGATGATTTAGAAATTACTTATATGTCAGCAAAAGGTTGTTGGCCAGTTGTATTATACAGACAGTTCTCACTTTACACAAGCAAATAATTCCACAGACCTCTATGTAAACTGTGTCTCTGTAAGGCGAATTTGCCCTCAGAGGTGGGGAAGTGAGGAAGGGAAGCAGGACAAGGAACACACCCATGGAAGGAGCAGGCCAGGACATGGTTCAAGGACACACAAAGGCTGGGAACAGAGCAGTGAGAGACAGAAGAGGAACATGTGGGAGCCAGGGCCATCCACGTGAAGGCATAGCTGGAAATAAGAGGAAAAACATATGGCAGGTAGACATGTGGGAACAAGACATGCACACAAACAGGACAGGATGGTCTACAGGCAGAAGACATGTTGGGGCTGGACACTTGGGCAGGTGGGTAGAGTAGGGTTAAAGCTCTTCTTTCAGCACTAGAGTCTCAGGCCAAGTCCCTCAATCCTATTACACAGCAGCAGTGGTGCAGTGCTGGTCTCTTCATGGCTCTGTTATTCTGTCTTCACTTGCAGGTTTATTATTATTCTTATTTTGTAGGGTGGGTAGTAGGCAGTAGAGTGGAGATGACAGGCAGGAATAGTAGTGAGCATAGTACTCTATAGTAAGGCTAACAAGTGTTTTTCTGGAATGTGAATGCCTTTCAGAATTTTTTTACTAAAGTCGAATTTGCATAACATAAATCTACACAAAGTGAGAACTGTAATTTCATTTTTTCTTTTTAAAAAAATAATGCCTTGTTTATATATCACATTTGATTTCTCTCCTTCCCAGAAACTCTTCTAACAAAGAGCAAGATGATTAAAAATTGTTCAGCAAAATCAACTAATACATCAAGCATATTTGACATCATATGCAATATTAACACTTACGATTCTCCCACATCTGTAATTAACATGCACTGAAGGAGAGAGAGATGTATTTTTTTTCAACTCTTTCACAGGGCCAAGACTGCGTATCACAATTATGCATCATTCAGTTTCATATCACTGTTTTTTCCCATTGACATTATCAAACTAAGCAGCTAGGTGGCAAAATTGGTGGAGAGCAAACTGGAATTTTGAAGACTTGAATTCAGTCCTGCTTCAGACTCTTACCAGCTGTGTAATGAGGGGCAAGCCACTTAATCGCTCTATGCCTCAGTTTCCTCACCTTTAAAATAGGGATAACACCCACTTCATGAGATTGTTATAAGACCAAATGAGTTAACATACTTAAAGTGTTCTGCAAATCTCAAAGTACTATACAAATGCTGTTATTATTATTAGTCATTGCAAACATTGTTACTTGGTTCTGTTTACTTCCCCTTAGGCCAGTTCCTCTATTTCTTTCCACATTTCTTCAAATTCTTCATATTTGTCATTTCTTGTGGCACAATAATATTCTAGTATACTCAATCACCATGATTCTTTCAGCTATTCTTCAATCAGTGGGCATCAATTTACTTCTAGTTCTTTAAAAATGGTCGAGTATTTTGTTATACATGTAATAAAAACAGTTGAGTAAAACCAACTGGCACAGTGACATCATCTGAAAAATATATACGATATTCCACACCTTAACTTCCCATCTCTCTATTGAAAAAAGGAGATATTTTTCTTCTGTTCTTCAGGATGAAGATGAGTCATGAGAATCAATTTGAATTTGGCTACCTTTTAGTTTAGTTTTACTTTATTGTAAAACTTTATTTGTACCAATCGCCAAGGGGGTAGATGAAGCAGATGCTGTGGGGTGCTTAGAGCTTGGTCAGGCACCAAAGATGCTAAGGTCATCTCAGGCCTGACTTTTGTCTTACCACTGGACTTTAATGACTCTGGAAGAGAAAGTGAGGCTGATAACTTTGCGTAACTGCCTCACTTAAATCAAGTCAAGATATAATCCCATGATGTCATTGGTCCTCTTTGAAAATGAAGGAGAAACAACTTTATTGTAGTCATTGTGTATATTGTTAATTCAGCTTTACTTCCCTGTTTAACCAATTCATACGTTTTCCCATGTTCCTCTGAATTCCTCAGTCATAACTTACTGTAGTACTCCGTTACATTCATAAACAACCGTTAATTTGTTCAGCTACTCCCCAATAGGTAAAAATCCACTTTGTTTCCAGTTTTTTGCTGTCACAAAAATGTTATGACTTTTGGGGGGATGTAACCTTTATCTCTTTTAAAAGATTATAGTGAGAGTTCTGAACTAAAGCCTTCATTTTTTGTTAGAATTTTCTTTTTTAAGCAGATTCAAAATAATTCTGTGACTTTAAAGTTGTATTCAAGGTAGGGACTATTCTCCTCCAAAATGGCTTTTACTGTACTTATTTTAAGATTTCAGTAGGGGCTTTAATCATGAGGCTTTGGAATGAAGTCTACTTTGAATCTGGTGCTTTTGATTTCTCTTTCCTTTTTCTATCCTCTAAAAACAATTAAGAGCAAACTTAGAAGGGAAAATAAGGAAAGAAATACAGCCTGAGTGCAGGTATGGAAAGAGGAGAGGCACACTGCTTTTTGATGGTGGGGATATATATGGGTAAACTTTACCAGATCGAGGACCTTCAAGAATTAGAATGGGCTTCTCTGGGGATTGTGCAGATCACTGAATTTTGCAATGAGGATTTTGCCCTGATGGTTTATGAAGAGTGTTTTGTTTTGTTTTGTTTTTTTGGTAAGACTGAGAAGACTCACACATGTTTGGAGGAGAGAAAGAAAATGTCAGTGTGTGGAGGAAGAGGGGAGAGAGAGAGAGAGAGAGAGAGAGAGAGAGAGAGAGAGAGAGAGAGAGAGAGAGAGAGAGAGAGAGAGAGAGAGAGAGAGAGAGAGAGAGAAATTTAAGACAAATAAACCAGAAGGAATGATTGATGGATTAAGAATCTTGTCAGAACTGGAAGAAGTGGGATTAGCAGAGAAGCAGATTTTAGATCCAAGTAATGAAAAACTAAAACATCTGTTCAAAATAGGAACTGGGCTGTTTGGGTAGAAAATGGATTTGTAATCACTAAAGTTTTCAAAGAAAGGATGAATGACCACTAGTTGTGGATTCTTAGGTCAAATATAGGCTGAACTATCTTCCAGTTTTCTTACAACTTTAAGGTCCAATGAATGATAAAATGGATAGAACTATACTTAAGAGGATAAAATCAAGAGAATGGATCTTCATGGGAGTACATGAGGATGGAGATGGGTAGGTTACTTTATATTTCTGGAGGCCTCTACTGTTTAAATCATACTTGTATATAGGCTTTGCCTTTGAAATACTCCAGTGAGGCCAACATGGCATTTTCATATATGTGTGCATGTATACATATATACATATACATACACACATTCATTTTTCCTTTGTATCCCAAGAGCCTACTATAACTTCTGGCACATAACAAAAGCTCAGTTAACACTCGCTGAATTTGATTAAATACTATTTTTAAAAGATTAGTAAACTGATTCTTATGGAAAGTAAATAACCTTGCCAATTCTGGTAGCTGAGTTGAAACCCCATGTCCTTTAAAGACTGATTCCCTGGGTTCTTCATCTTACAGCATCTGATTCCCAAGTGTTGAAAAGGTAGCCTGCTGTAAGACACAAGGCGGCGCTGACCAGTGGGAGACGAAAACAAGAACACAAAATTGAGGAAGTGGCTGGGATGGGTGTTCTGGTTGACCAGAGCTCCAAGAACTCTCCAGACTGTGTGAGGGAGGCGAAAGAGAGGTTGAAGGGAGGGGCTTAAGAAGAGTCAAAATGAGCCAATTTGATGGGCGGAAACCTATCATAGCTCCAGGGACATCAACCTCAGGGAGTACATCAAAGGAATGCTCGAAGGGAAGAAGCAGAAACCAAAGCGGAAGCTGTTGTAGACCCGGAACTGTAGCGGAAACTGTTGGGAGACCCGGAACCGTTTCTAATTTACAATGCCTCCTTGAGAATTTTCTTTTGCCATTGTTGATTGATCCGGAAGGAGAGGGAGCGGAAATAACCGGCGATTGGCTGAACATGGAAGGCCGGAGCTCAAGCCAAGAAGCCGCCATCACTTCAGGATATGACGATTCCGGAAGTCCGGAAGTGGCTGGCCAAGCTTCGCTATGTCTTATTCCCTCGGTGGGCGTGGTCGAGAGGGCTGGGTCACCTAGTCACCACCTTCCCCACTTCCCCTCAAAGCTCAGCCCCTCCCTTCCGGCCACAATCAACCGGTCGCCCCCTGCCGCCCCTACTGTGCGACTCGCACTACTGCGGCTGGTCTGCGGAAGCTCCGCCCCGCTACTTCCCTAGCCAATTCCGACATCCGGGGCTTACGCCACAACCCCACCCTCCCGGAGCTTTTATTCTTCTCAGTGAGGCCTTGGGCGGGGTTTCATACAGCTCACGTCCACTTCCCGGGAGCACTGACCAAGGTCGCCCTAGAGGGTCCCTCGCTCCAGGACACGGGAACTGGCACCCCCACCAGCGCTGCGACGGCTCCCGCCCTTGATCTCGGCCCCTGTGCCGAATCCCCGGGAGCTCGCGCTCCGTCTTGTCTCCGCGCCCCCTCCCCGGGTCCCCGCCTTTCGCCCCTTCCCCATTCCTAGCATGTCCAACCTGCCGAGAGTCGTCCTGAAACCCCCCGAGGACGTTTCAGGCAGCGCTGCCCCGCCATGGTAAGTACCCTCTTCTTCGCCTCCCCGCCCGTCTTCGGGCCTGGGCCGCGGCCCTTCCCCGGGGCATCCCGTCCTCCCCGCGCCGAGGCTCCCCACCGTGGAGTCCCCGCCGCCCCCCGCCCTCGCGGGACCGTCGCCTGCGAGGAGCTCCGAGAGGACGGCCAACATGGCCGATGGCGCTGCGTGGCGGCGCGCGTATCCGGCGCAGGCTTCTCGAAGATCCGGCGGCAGCAGTCGTGGGAGCCCCGCCGAAGGCGGGCCCGGCCTGCAGAGCTTCGTGAGCCCGCAGCCGGCGAGGGCTTGGGGCACTGCGTGGCGCTGCCCCCTTGGGGAAGGAAGCGAGCGCCGAGGGCTAGCGCCGAGGGCTCGCCCCTGCGGAAAGAGAAGAAGGTGTCGCCCGGCCCCACCCAGGGCCGAGCGAGGTGTCCCCAGTGAGAGCCCGCCCCGCGGAGGGATGCTAATGAGGTGGGAGGGCTTAAGTCAGGGATCGGAGAGTTGAGATTGGAGAACCCTTCCTCCCGGCTCAGTCTCCTAGGCCAATCAGAGGTGGGGATGCTGAGGAACTCCAGGTAGGCCGAGGTCCAGGTGAGGTTGGCATTGAGTTAACTCGATGGGCCAGTGGCCGCGGAGTGTGGTGAGGAATGGAGGAAGAAGAGCCGAAGCAAAGAAGGCAGATTGGGATGCCAGAAATAATGGCGTGCTCCCCAAAATTGATGGTTTACCGCGTTGAGATGAGTAGCAAGTATTACCTCGGTTGTACTGATGTGGAAGCCGCCTTGTAGAGGTTCATACTTGATCCAGCCAGGATGAGACCCAAATCTTTCTTGCTTTCTGACACCAAGTCCACTGTTCTTTCTTAAGAACATTTGTGTGAAGAAACATTTTTTTTTCCCAAATGATGCTTAACCAGCTCCACCACACAATTTACTTAGCATATAAGGTAAGTTGTCACCTGATCTAAAGAAACAACCTGATTGCAAGCAAGGAATTATTAGTGGAGATTGCTAAAATTTATGTGTGGTACCATGGAAAAGGTGTCCACAACAATTAATGGAAGAAAGGAAAAACACTAATTGAGTTCTAGGGCCTTTCCAAATATTTCATTTGATCCTTACAACAACCCTGGGAGGTAGGCTCTTATAAGCCCCATTTTACAGTTGAGGAAACTGAGGCAGACAGTAACTTACCCAGGGTCACCCAGTTAGTCTGAGGCTAGATTTGAATTCAGGTCTTCCTGACTCTTGGCCCAGGGCTTTGTCCATTGTACTGCCAAGCTCCATCAACTGAGAAAATTATTGAAGAGGCATCACTCCAGAAAGATGACACAGAAGTGATTAAAATAAAAAAAGTCAAGCTGCCCAGAGTCTTGAAATGGTAGAAGAAGATTCATACCTCATAGGGAATTTGAATGGAAGATCCAACCAATGTCGTCTCTCTTTGCCTCCCTTGCAAAATAAGACCTTTTCAAGGATAGACTAATGGAGGAAGGAAGAAAGCTGGTGATCACTTTCTTGGTCTTAGGTTCTCTTTAATGGAAGAGAACCCTCATCTGGATATGTTTAGAGAGTAGCCAGGAATTGGACATTGTCTTATAGTATGACCTTGGGAGGATAGCACAATAGAGGGATTTACAGTTTCTGCTGTTAAGAGGGTAGGGAAGAGAATTAGTATTTACATAGTACCTACTATGTCCTAAGTAGGTGTTACCATCATGCCTATTTTGCAGTTGAGGAAACTGAGACAAACAAGTTTAAATGACTTGTCCAGGGTCACAAGTGTATGAGACCATATTCCAGGGCCAGTTCTCTGTGGACTCTGGCGCCCCCCACCTGCCTCAGATTGTGTGAGAGAGCAGAAACTAAGCTTTGGTTTATGACCTGCTTTAATATTCCCTATAAAGCCTAGCATAGTACTTTTCATATGCATATTTCCTGAATGAATGTTCTTATATGTATAAATTTTAAGCCTGATGAGAAAATAGGAAATGAGAAACATTAAATGCCATACTAAAGAGAAAATGAGTTTTTTTGATGAATAAGGATTATTTTTTTGTATCTACCTAAAACAGTATTCTTTTAAAAATAGAATATGTTCCTTTTACTCTTATTTTTCTTTTGTTGCATTATAAATTTTTAAACTATGTTTTGTGTTAATAATATGATAGAGGAAAAGAATTTAATTTGTTGACCTATTTCAATTGTTCCATGCTTTTCCTTTTTGTTAAATGTATTTAGGATTTGTAACAAAAAAAAAAAGTTCAACATTTTGCCAAATGTAATCAGGTTTTCTTGCATGTATCTCTCTGTTTATTACTGTTCCATTTTACTCTTACCTATCCAGTATTTTCATTGCCACAAGGATTTGGGGCTTTGTTTTTAATTTATAAGTTTTCTTTTCCTTATCCAGATGACTGTCATGCTAAGTTATGATGCTATGAAGCTTAGACTAAGACTAGATTTTGGGGGCATGATCTGACATCATTTTGGAGCCATTTATCTTTTATTTTTAGTAGCTTTGGCAAGCTCTTAACTATTCTATTTTGTAACAGTTATGGTAAGAAAGGAAGATAAATCACATATCCAAATAAAATTCATCAAGTTACATGTCTGTCTCTTTTTATAATTATTAGCCTTTTCATGTATGAACCCATTTTCCACTTATTTATTAGTTTAAAAAAATGACAGGTCAGTGACTTGACCTAAAGTTACAAATCCAGGTTTCCTGAAAGGACTTTATCAGACTCTCCATCTTTTCTTGATACCGTTTTTTGGTTGAAATGAGGTGGTGCCAATGTTAGCGAGGTTTGTTTAGCTTATGTATAAATTTGGAAAGTGTTAGGAAGAAGCTGAGTAATGTAAGGTTTTGAAGTATATTTGGAATAAATTAAGTGTAGCCTTTTTAAAAAGTGAAAACCTTTATTAAAAAGGGTGAATTATGAGCCTTGGGATTTGTACTGAGTGAATTTCAACTGTTGATGCTCTTGGCTGCTATCAGTATAAGACATCATGTGAGACAAACAATGATTTTGAGAGCAATTAGTCTTTGTGTTTTAAGTCTTTGTTTTTTAAATTGTGTTTTACAAGTGTTAAAAGGCTTCATGCACTGTAATTGGGAGAGATTGGAATAAATGATCTTTAAGTTCCATTCTCCTTCCATGGTTTTGAGGTTTATGTTTATTTGAGGAAGTATATATTCGATTCTGTTTATCACATATCTTGGTGTTCTGTGTTTCACTTTCATTTTTAAGATTCTTCTCAGCCCATCATCAGGAAGTCAAAGTTCACTTTTTACTCTAGCTAATAGAGTAAGTAAATGTTTGCATGCTTAGTGGCAGAAACTATTTTACACCTCTGCAGGGAACACTGAAATGGAGAAGAAAATGAACATTGGCTTTTTGCAGTGATTGAAACTAAAAACTATCACAATTAAGGAGAATTGTGCCTTTTAGAAGGCACATGTATGATATATTTGGAGCTCCAAAAGTGTGTACAACTTGAATTTCAACACTATCATTTAAAATAAATATTTGTTAAAGAAATTGTATATGGTAGTATTAGCCTCTATACAAATAATAACAAATTTAGTTTCTGTACTGTATGGGGCTTCCAGTCTTGTGGATAGTAGTGAGAGACACTTAATATGAGACAAATGAATGAAACCTCTAAGTCAATATATAAATAATTTTTTTAAAATTTGAGTCATCAGTAAAGACATTTTAAGAATCTTAAAAGCAATAACACTAATAACATAATTCTAATGGTTCTCTGGAACTGCTGCTGTGGTAGTATTCAGCTGAACCAGCATTATTGACTTTCTGCTCTGTTAGCTCCTGGGGCCCACTACAAAAGAATTAAAATTTACAGTCCCTGATGTCAAGGGATGTGTGTTGGGATCACAGGAGATCACAATGAAAGATCTGGAAAACAGTCAAGCTGAGTAAGATGCAGCCATTATGTGACCTATGTCTCTCTTTTCAATTTTAAGAATTCTTTGATTTTCTGTGAATTAAATAGACAAAGTCTTAGGAGGTTTAGAGTTGAGAGAACTGGTGTACACTGGGATGGTTGGGGATGGCACCTTAGATTGCCTTGAAGATAAAACAAGCTCTTATATGAGTATGTCTTTTAGAGCTTGAAGGGACTCTGGTCATCTAGTCTAACCTACTCATCTTACAGATAAGGAAACTGAGACACAGGTTAAATGACTTGCCTATGGTCACACTAATTTGATGCTAGTTTCCATGCTTATTTCACATCATTCTCTTTTTATTCCAGCTAATCTAGCCTACTTGTTCCAGAGACAGCATTCCATGTCCCACCTCAGAATTTTTGTATCCGCTCTTCACCCATGCCTAGAATAACATTCCTTCCTCATTTCTGCCTCTTAGACACATTAGAGTTTCCTTAAAGTCTCATCTCAGATATCATCTTCTCTGGGAAACCTTTCCTGATCTTTCCTGCTGTTCTGTTTCCCTTTTCAAATCATCTTCTATTTGTTTATCCATAAGTTCCTCAAGGTCAGGAACTGTTACTTTGTTTTAGCATCTCCAGCAACTGTACTTGAACAAGATAGTGTTGAAAACACTGCATGTTGTCCCAAGGACCTCATGGGCTACAATATCACTTCATAAAGAAAATAATGATATCTTTGGAGTAGCATATTTGGTATAATGGAAAGATTATTGGACTAGGAAAAAGGAAACGTGGGTTCTTAATGTTGCCTGTGCAGTGAACTGTATGACTTGGCAATTCAATTAGTATTTCTTGCCTTCTCTGTCCTTATTTGAAATTTCTAGCATTGGACTTGATAATTTGTGAGGTATTCTCTTTTAGTGGGTTAATGATTCTAAGAGTTAAAACTGAGGGGTGTTTGGAATCACTGAAGCAAATAGAATATATGCTGAGGTAGGAGAACTCGGATTGTGTGGTATATTTGAAACATGGGAGATTCCAAGTAGTAGAAGTGGTTACTGGTATCCAAATGTAGCCATGATCCAGGAA